AACAATCAGGGACTTGCAAATGGGCCAAACAGCATTAATAATTTCTGAGGTTTTTTTTAAGTTCAAAAAAAAATCTGGTCCTTTTTTTTTTATTTGGAAGAGAAGCACTCAACAGTTCTGGACTTCCAACCAAACCGCTCTGCTTCTGATCTGAAATAGGACTTGATTCTAGTTTCCTGCTAAAAATATCCCTCCTCCTAGGAGACCCATTTAAAGTAAACTGTATGTGGACAAAAAGATGACAGGAAAGCCATCTGGCATCTCTTCAAAAGAATTGTGGTTTACTTAAGCAAGCTCTTTCAAAGATGTGCCACCTCAGGTAATGCATCCTAAAAGAGTAGGAGACTCTGCACAACAGCACTTGTCACACTCCAGAATACATCTGGAAAGAAATCATGAAGTGATACAAAAAAATCTATATCTTTCAGCATCTCACGTCATTTGGCCATGTCATGTAGGGGAATTCATTGGAGAAATCAACTATAGTTTGGAAGAGTTAGCGGTAAAAGGAAACCAAGGTGCCAAAATACACGATGGCTAGAAAAAAACTGACCCCAGCCAGAATATAGAACAATTCAAAGATTGGAAGATGTGTTTAGTTATCCATATATTAACTGCTGCCAGAAAATTTGCACAACATTGGAAGAGTGAAGCGATACCTACAGATGAGATGAAATATTAGAATGTGCGGGAATGAATACATTAATGCTGTCAATTAAGGAGAAAGAGCAAACTGAATACTGTATGGTATGGGATCTATTTTATCAATGGTTAAATAATAAAAATGGAAGTTAGAAACAGGGAAACAAAATAAAGAAGATACGTTAAAAGAGATAAGTAAATATTATGACTAGTATGTTGAATATCTCTATGTTAACATTGTAGACTTAATATTAATGTAATGAAGGATGTTGTAATCTTGATTATTGTTTAAAAATGATACTTGTACCCAGAAGATGTTCAACCAAAGATGGAACGATTATATTTAAAAAAAAAACTTATTTAAAAAAAGATTGGAAGATGTGGAGATACCAGGCCCATAGAATTGCCAAGAGTCAGACATGACTCAGTTGCTAATCTCATTGTCATCATCATCCATATGTTTTAGCATCCCACTGAACAGGAACAGTGATGGAAGCTTTGTAAAAGGAACCGTTGGCAACGTTGTGAAATGCTGGGATACACACATTATGGAAAGGGTGTTTTGGATTTGGTGCAAATAGAGAATTTCTCTGCTACTCCCAGAAGGATCTTGAATTTTTTTCAGACTTTTTCAGAGTCCAAAAAAAAAAAAAAAATCCTGTGATTTTAGGGATGCATTCAGTCACCCAAAGATGGCTCTTGAAAGAGTCCCAATTTTTTTTATAGAGAAATGGGAAAAGGCCATAATGGACAGCATTTGTTCCAAATGATGAATATTATTTCATTGCCCATATTCTGGAGAAACCAATGCAGTTCTCTCAAGAGGAGCAATCAACTTCCATCAGGGTTCTCCAGTTCTCTTCCTAAAAACTGAGGGAATCTCACCACAGTAAGGTGGGCTCATTGGACAGAAGCTCAGTAGTAATTGGAAAAGTATCCTGCCTCAAAATAATTGGAATAGGACCACCAAGAACTTCAGATGTCTAACAGATGGCAACCAAAAGATTTTTAAAAAAATGGCAGCCTTTTGCTGTCTCTTATGATCGTCAGAGTTTTTGCAACCCAGATCTGGTATCCCTTGCCTTGACTGCTTCTCAGCATTGAGTAAGGTTGGATCTCAAATGACTGTAAATCAGTTCAGGAAATCAGGAGATTCTTCCAGTTTGGGGCCATTCTCTATGGGTTTGGAAGCTTCAGACTGGGCTAAGGAAAGATGCCTAGGTTGTTTCTGCTGTTTTCATTTGATTAGACAGCAACCCAGCAATCCACCAGAATTCCACCAGAGAAGACAAAATGGTGGCCTCTCCACCACGTGTAACATGTGTGACAGGCCTGAAAAAGATTGCACAGTCCCAGTTCCTATTTTGACCCCCTGCCTCTATAGACACCCTAAGACACGGGTCTCCAACCTTGGCAACTTTAAGCCTGGAGAATTTCAACTCCAAGAATTCCCCAGCCAGCTTTGCCCTAAGAGGCAGACAGCTGGTATTCAAATTTAACTGAAATGAACACACAACACAACCTTTGGGAGAAAAGCCAGGTTTTCTTACCTCTGTGGACTGTCAAAAAGGCATTTTCCACCTCTTTTATCTTTTTTTCAAGCCTGTCTACAGCGGCAGCCACAGAATTCAGCACTAGAAAGGAAAACAGCATCCCATTATTGGAGTCCCAGAAGGCAAGCCAAGTTGAACCAAATTGGTGGGCATTCAAACAACGAGCGGCTACTCTTTCTTGGACCTGCCTATTGATCCTTCAGGTGAACACTGGGCCCCTTGGCTTAATAGATATTGGTCCTCAGAAGAATGCATGAAATGGCTTTGGGTGGGGAATTAGATCATTGCCTCATTTTCTAGCCTCCTTGAACCTCTCCCTCCGTGAACAAGAAGGACTTTAGCAAGACTGCTTTCCTGACTACCCCGTTCCAGATGGGAATTGGAAAGTTCTTCTGAAGAACAGACAACCTTGCATTACATGCCTTGCTGTGCTGATTTCTAGAGCTATGATTTGTTCGTTGTTGGTTTGTTCATTTCATCAGTGAAAGATCTCGAAGGAGCTCTTAAACTAACTCTGCTCTCCAGAACCTTTTTGCATTCAGATAACAGAATAATGGAATAAGGGAAGGGAACTTGGAGGTCTTGTAGTCTAACCCCCTGCTCAGGTAGGAGACACTATGCCATGTCAGACAAATGTCTCTCCAATCTCTTCTTAAAAGCCTCCAGTGATGGAGCATCCACAACTTCTGAAGGCAAGCAGTTCCACTGGTTAATTGTCCTAACTGTCAGAAAGTTTTTCCTTAGTTCAAGGTTGCTTCTCTCCTTGGTTATTTTCCATCCGTCGCTTCTTGTCCTGCCTTCAGGTGCTTTGGAGAGTAGCTTGACTGCATCTTCTTTGTGGCAGCCCCTGAGATACTGGAAGACTGCTATCATGTCTCCCCTGGTCCTTCTTTCCACAAGACGAGACATACTCAATTCCTGTAACCGTTCTTTGTATGTTTTAGCCTCTAACCACCCCACCAATCATCTCTGCCCTCTGTGGTGCATTCAGATAACAGGAACGGCACCCATGCACTCCCACTTCTGCCCATGGGCTAAGCCCCCTCCCCATTCTCAAATATAGGTTAAAATGATCACATTTTCCTTCAGGATCCGTGTCATGTCCGTTGGCCAGAGATGTTCCCAAAAGAAGAAGACTGGACAGCAGGAGGATCAAATGCATCTTTTGACCATATAACCTGTACAATTCAGAGAGACAAAGTTATTGTAGCATGCATGTGGTTTTTAAATTCACATTCTAGCTTGCTCAGAAAATGCATAGCCAAAGATACAATCCTAGCCCAATCTAATAATATTTGATACACATCTGCACAAACCACTAATTTAACAAACTACAAGCATGCATTAAGCATACTTTCTAGCCCACTCATTAGAATACCCAGCAGAATGGCTCTTAGTAACTACACAGTTCTTAATTAGTTATCATATATTGCAAGCAAATTGTTTCTCTGCACTTACGCTCTGGATTCTCTTCTACAGTAGATGTGGCACCCAGAAACTACCTTCCTCCCAGTGTAAGAGTTATTTTATATCAGTCATGGATTGGGCAACGTGAAGGGTTGTGCAAACTGATTGCTCAAGGTGATACCCCCGTCTTTTACTTTTCCTCCTCCCCGGGGTCAATAATGGCTGTTTATTTAAGAACAGCCTGGACTTTCCGATTGAAAGTTTACAAAAATTGGAAATTCTCCAGTCAAAAAAAGGAGAGGCCAGATATGAGGAAATGTTGGAGAATACAGGGTGTGTGCATGTGAATGAATGTCCCCCAAAGATTTTGCAACACTTTGCAGTAAAAACATAGAACCTTGAGGTTTCATAACTTTGTGGAATGAGGATTACACTAAACAAATCCAGAATTTTGCAAACCACCATAACTTCAGCTTAGACACGAAGAGACATTGTATAAACAGTCAAAAACTGAGTTTAGCCTGTGCTTAGAGGAGAAACTGAGAAAGAATTAAAGGAAATTGAGCTTGATAAAAAAAAAATAGATTTGCCAGTTCTGGAGATATTTATTGCTTGGAATATCCCTGAATAGATTTATAGGGTGATTTTTTAGTAGTTAGAATCTGGAAATTGTGATTTTTCTCACTCTTCATCCCCGAAGTAGAATCTTCTTATATATCTATTTGCAACTGTTTTTTTTTATTTTAAAGTGTGGATTTTTACGAATGCATATCCATATGCCTTCATTTACAGGTATTGTTCACATTTTTCCCCTCTAATCTATTCTCACCCTATAAGAAGCTTCCTTAACATAATGCTATTTTGCATGTTTTGTGTGTGAGAGACCCATAAGTGTACATTTCTAGTTTGGAAAATGCCTTTGAAAGCTCTCAGAAGTGTGAGAGCATAACTGAAGACCAAGGGTTGTGTTTATTTTAAAGGGGCATGTTTATTCTTGCCTAAATCCAAATAGAATCTAATTTTACTTTCTCCCTAGCTTTTGATTGCCTCTTACCACTTCTGACTGAGGGCGCTATTCTTTTCAAGCAAACTATGTCTGATGAATGAAGGTGAATCTACGTGTCTCAGGATAACGTTGCAGGATCCAATCTGGGTCATTCACCGGGACCAGAGCTTTTTGTCTTCCAGACTTTTGGACTCATGTTGGAGCCCATCTCTGGGAGTTTCTCTCTAGCAGATTGTGTTCTGTTCTTTGTGTGATATTTATAGCGCACATAGTGCCATCAACACACCCCAATCAACACCTAAAAAGCCACATACAACAGGTACTATAAATACCACGGACAGAAAAAAAAAAACCACCCTGTTAGAGAAAAGTTCCCTGAGGATGGGTTTCAGTACAAGTCCAAAAGCTCAGAAGAGAAAAGATCTGGTTCTCGCAACCAACCCAGGCGATATCCTGCAAAATACGTCTGGTCATTGCCATTTATGCATTTATGCCCAGATTGGATCCTGCAACGTTATCCTGGGACACGTAGATTCACCTTCATTCGTCAGACATATTTTGCTTGCAAAGAATAGCATCCTCTGAAGGCCAGACAAGGAATATCAATTAAGGAGAACATGACTATTAATTTATGGAGGAATATAAACGAAGGCAAGCTTGCAACTACAGAGATGCAATCAGTTTTGGTCACCACACTATAAAAAAGATGTTGAGACTCTGGAAAGAGTACAGAGAAGAGCAACCAGGATGATTATGGGACTGGAGGCTAAAACATATGGTGAAAGGTTGCAGGAACTGGGCCTAGTGAAGAAAAGGACCAGGGGAGACAGGATAGTAGTCTTCCAATATTTGAGGAGCTGCCACAGAGAGGAGCGGGTCAAGCACCCGAAGGCCAAACAGGGAACAAGTGAACAAGGAGAGATTCAACCTGGAAATAAGGAGAAATTTTCTGACAGTGAGAACAATCAACTAGTGGAACAGAAGTTGCCTTCAGAAGTTGAGGGAACTTCATCACTGGAAGCTTTCAAGAAGAGATTGGATTGCCATCTGTCAAAAATGGTGTAGGATCTGCAGCTTGGTTGGGGGATTGGACTAGATGACCCACAAGGTCCCTTCCAACTCTGTTAATCTGTCTGTCTGTATCCCACTATTATAGACGTACAAAACATACTCTATATGTACACAAATACACACCATCCTTTTCTCTCTTCTCACAAGTCTGTTTGCTGTGATGCATCAGTCAAATATGTATGCATGTTATGCTTATAGTGTGTTATTCAACAGTGGCAAAATAAACATCTCCTTCTTATGCATTCGACTGTTGAAAAGAAAATGCATCAGTTTTTTTCCCCTCATCACAGATATGTGTCTCTGTATACACACAAATAGAAACTTTACACAAGCTCACTTCTGTAATAAACTGGCTCAGTAGATATAAACACTATCTCAGTTCCAAATATTCCTTTGTTGGATTTCATAAATCTATTCAAGATAAGGCACAGAGCATTCTCCTTATTTTCCCCCACAGTGGTAGCCACTTGAAATAGAGCAACTGATGAAAATATTTTGGAAAGCATCAAAGTGTTCACTTTTTCTTCTGGATTGTGCCGATCTGACCACTCCAGAATTGTGCAGCAAGTTTCTGAAAATTAATCTTCTGGAACAGGAGGTGATTCTCAAAGATCTGGAATGTAAGGGACCCATAAGAGAAAATGACAGGTCCAAAGTCACCCTATAATGAGGGATCCTTGGTGCTCTCTGAGCGTGGTTGTTTTCTTGCAGACATTTCATTAACCAAAATAGGTAACATCATCAGTGCTAGAAGGGAGACTGGTTTCAGAGGAGGAGGAGAAGAAGAAGGGGAAAGGAGGAAGAGTAGGACAAGGAGAAAGGGAAAGAAAGGGAGGAGGAGGAGGAGGGGAAAGGAGGAAGAGGAGGAGGAGGACAATGACTATGGGGTCCTTGGTGCTCCCTGAGCTTGGCTGTTTTCTTGCAGACATTTCATTACCCAAACTGGGTAACATCATCAGTGTTAAAGGAATCTTTTTTCTTCAAAAGGCAACTGGAGCACCTTTTCCCCTTGAGAAATAAGAAGAAAATGTTTCACTTCACATCTAAGAACCTTCATCAGTTCTGAATTTTCAGAACAATAAACCACTTTTGAGGTGGATGACTCAGAACTTTCACAGATATTCAATCAGCGCTAGTTTGGGTAATGAAACGTCTGCAAGAAAACAACCAAGCTTAGAGAGCACCAAGGAGCCCTCATTTCAACCCTAAGCTACAAATATTCTCCTTGGTAGTCCCAAAGTTGCTTCTTCAAGAGGCAACTGGACCTCTTCAAAAAGCACCTTTGGGAAAACCATGACCTGGATGAGTGAGGATCTCCATAGACATTCTCCTTGGTATCATCCTGTGATCTTCCATGGCTGAAAATGGATTTGAACTTGGTTCTCCTCATATGAGCTGAGCACCTTTACCACAACATAGATAACAAAGACTGAATGCACTAATTATCACATTAGGAAAACCTTCTACACACCAATTCCACCCTCGCTTTCTACAATTTTGTAAACAACAAACTAAAAGACTCAAGGTCCACCCCACCCCTGAAAGGACCTGATGGTAAAGACTGCAATGACGACACCATTAAAACCAACCTCTTTAACACATTCTTTGGCTCAGTATGTGTAAACAGCAATGGATCAAGCCCAGTATTTCCTAGTCGAACCACAGACAACTACAATGATCCAATACATATCGATTTTACAGAATACAATGCTGGAAAACCACTGTGCAGTTTAAAACCATCCCCATCTATTGGACTGGATGGAATATGCACCTACCTCTTTAAAAAGCTATCCACTGTCATAGCCAAACCTCTAAGCATAATCTTTGAAAAATCTTTCAGGACCATCTCCTTGCCAAAACTACAGTCATCCCCATCTTCAAAAAAGGAGACCCCAGCCTAGCTGAAAATTACAGACCAATCTCCTTATGCTGAGTCACCTGTAAAGTCATGAAATCAATTGTTAACCAACCCATTATCCTCCATTTAGAGACAAACAACCTACTCTCTAATAAACAATTTGGTTTCAAAAAAAAACTATGCTGCAATCTGCAACTCTTATACTGTAAAAACATATGGACTACGATCGGACTACAACTCGATCAGGGCAAAGCAATAGACACAATCTACATAGACTTCTGTAAAGCCTTTGATTCAGTAGTACATGACAAACTACTAAAACTAAATTCTTACGGTATCTCTGGACACCTGCATAACTAGATAGAAGCATTCCTGTCAAACAGACAACAAATGGTCAAAATTGGGAGTGTCCTATCAAATTCTCTACCTGTCAACAGTGGTGTCTCCCAAGGCAGTGTTCTAAGACCAACTCTCTTCATACTCAACATAAATGACCTCTATGATCATATTAAGAGCAACTGCATTCTCTTTGCTGATGATGTAAAGCTATTCAACACCACAGACAATACTGCTACCCTTCAAAAAGATCTTGACTATCTATCAGAATGGTCAAACAAATGGCAACTTCAAATCTCAACAAATAAATATTCTGTCTTACACATTGGAAAAAAAAAACAGAAAATAAAATACAAGCTGAATAGTCAAGACCTTGTTGATGATCCAAACTCTGTCAGGGATCTTGGAGTACTCATCTCTAATGATCTAAGTGCTAGAGCCCACTGTAACTACATAGCCAAAAAGGCATTAAGAGTTGTTAACCTAATCTTACATTGCTTTTTCTCTGGTAATATTACACTACTAACTAGAGCATACAAAACATTTGGTAGACCAATACTCGAATACAGCTCATCAGTCTGGAACCCACATTACATATCTGATATTAACACAGTTGAGAAAGTCCAGAAATATTTTACCAGAAGAGTTGTCCACTCCTCTACTCGTTGCAGAATACCTTATGCCACCAGACTTGAAATTCTAGACCCAGAAAACCTAGAACTACACCGACTTCGGTCCAATCTAAATATAGTATATAAAATCATACATTGCAATGTCCTACCTGTCAATGAATACTTCAGCTTCAACCATAACAATACAAGAGCAAACGATACAAACTCAAGATTAATCGCACCAAACTTGATTGCAGAAAATACGACTTCAGCAACAGAGTGAA